ATTAAACCTTTTCCATATGCTGTATTTTTTGGCTTACTATTTCTTACTCTTTTTATATGCTTGTGTAACACTGCAGACCCCAAAAGGGAACATCTATGCATGATAGATGTACCAGTATATAGCTGCGTTTTCTCTCCAACAATTTTTCTTAGATATATTATCTTATCTGGGCTGCAGAAATCCAGACAACCACAAGATGGCAACAAAGCTACATAAGGTTCTCACTTTACTGTCTTCTTAATAGGGCTGATTCAGAGTTTCACTGTGCAGCTCTGAGCAGTAGTTCAGGCATATGATAAGCCTGTTGAAAATCCTGCTCTGTCTAGTGATTATACTGTATGTGTACAATCTGCAAAGGTTTGGGTTGTTCTGTTAGAATAGAGCCTGATGCAAATTAACACTGATTTCAAAAAACAAACAAACACACAAGTGCATTAAATTTTTTAAAAATATTTCACACCACTAGCCACTGGAGCATGTAAGCTTTACTTTTTAAAGTGCCACGTTAATAAATCTATTTAGAATTTAGCATATCTCAAGGATCACTCAAATGAGAGATATAAACTGGAGTGGAGAAGATGGATTGACTATACTCAAAATAAATATGGGACTAAGAAATTCCAGATAGTTGATGACTGAAGAAACAAGGAATGATATAATCTGTTTAGAGTTAGCCTAGCGAAGAGGAGTTAAAGCTCTAATGAAAGATGATACTAACTTTCTTAAGTTTATTTTAAAACATATTTGTTAAAGATCTATACCCTGTATTTGTTCTGGGAAGTTGAGGGGATGGGGTGTGTGGGGTTTGGGTGGGGAGGGCAGGGGGAGGAGGTAAACATTTGTAAAAGTTTTTTTTTTTTAAATTTTCAAAAAAAAATAAAAATAAAATGAATAGTTATTAATGCATTTGTCCAGGAGATATTCAAAATAGTATACAGTTTGCTTCCAGAGACACAATATATGTGCCACAAATGGGCAGAACAAATTTGAAAGGAGTTCAATTCTATTTACAGAAATTCCTTATCAGAATATCTTCTACTGTACTTGCAATATTTTCTGTTCCTTATAAAGAGCACAATGTCCTTTTTCAGAAAAAGATTGTAACAAATCACTGATCAAATAACTAAAGAATATGTTTGATAATTTAAATCAATGTTTATTAAGGTGGGAAATAGAAGAATGTCTCTCTCAGATATGAGTCTCAATTATTTGAGAGACCTGCTAAATATCAAGTTACATTTCCACATTGTTCAGACTGAGGGACCCCTCTCCAAAATACGTCAGCCACTATTTTTTGAGGGCAGGGAGATATAGAAAAATGTCTGTTCTCATTTCTATTCAGCTAGCATTAAATGCATTTTCTGGGAACATGCTCTTGTTCTGCTTTCAAAGAAGTATTTTTGTGCCTATGTTCCTCAAGTATGGCAATCTGGGTTTTCTGGTACATTTTACTATATTTTGTTCAATTTGTGTCATGATGTTCAACCTTCAATCATATGAGTGAAGGGCTGAAAGGCAGCCTTTTAATCTGCTCATTTCAGCAATAAATCAGTGAACTAATCTGAACTACCAATTCATCTTTTCCCCCCCTTAAAAACAGCACAAGTTTTCCTTGAGAAATTTCAATACAAGTTTTATTCTCCATAACTGCTGCCTGGGGGAGGGATTGACATAAGGCGTAAAATAGTCAATTGAATAATTATTCTTGTCACTCATACTTTTCAATCCATGTGGAAAACATTTGAAATGACAGGAATAGGTGTGAACAGCAACAGAAAAAACTACCCAATGAGATGCTATGATATCTGCAGTCTAGAGTGTAACCTTTTCAAAATATTGCCAAACCATTTCAGTCTTTGACAGGTTTTTTTAGACTTAATTTAGCCTTACATTGCCCTTAAAGGGACAGTGAAAATATGCCCTGAAAATGTATACCTGTATAATGTGCTTTTAAAAAATGTAAAGAAAACAAACTTGTGTAAAAAGATGATCTTGCTTAAGAATGGAGAAAATCACAGTTATAGATATGTGTTTCATAGAATAACTGTGTAGCTTGGCCCCTAAGTCTTTCTAGTCATCTTAGAGAAATATTAATCACCTGCATTTCTACAACGAGGGGTCTAAAACCCATGCTTTCTGTTCCAGAAGTCTCTATTTTTATATGAGGGACTTGGCTGCAATTACAAGTGAGGAGACAAATACAATCTGCAGCTATCAGGTAGTATCAGGTATCTGGTATATGAAACATTTTCTTATTTTATAAAAATATTATTAATGTATAAAATCAATTTCAGTTAACTACATTTGTAAGATTGTGTTATCTTGCTCTATGTTACAATTTTGGTTGTAAGCCTATACAACAGAATATTTCAAAGACCCATTAATTTAGTAGCAATTTTAAACTGTTACAAATCCAAAAAAAAATTGCATTTGTCATTATTTTGAGATGGGAAGGTCCAATGCGAATTGTGGAAGAGGAATTAAGTATGATGATTTATTTCTCTATTATTTGTCACATTTTATATTGAGAACCAGGAGAACTTTATTTTTCCCACTGATAAGAACTTATTGTGTCCTATTGAGCGACACAACATCTTAGCTAGAAAGCATTTACTGCAGGTTCTATCCAATATAAACAGTTAGCAACTGTCTGTCAGATATATAAATGATGTATATTTGTTTACCATGTAAATGTCTGCAATGAAAAGCCTTGCTCTACTGTATGTGTTGCAGCTCACATAGAAGTGACCACATGCAATGCTGGCTGACCACTGCAGACAATCATATTCTAACCATGAAGATCAAAGCTTTAATTAGACCACTAGAATGATTAAGAATTGGGAAAGCCTATTCCTCGTGAATTGGAAGATTCCATCATTTGTTACACCAAAACAGGGCTAAGGTAAAGCAGCAATTTCTGGATGCATTTAATTTGTCATTTACTGTACTGGTTCTGTAACCCGTGCAACATTTCCTACCTGCTATTCATCTTGTTCTATCCTTTGTACTCATTTATTTTCCTGTGATGACTCTAAATAAGACATTCAACTGAACTGAATTACATTATTCTAATTTACAACAAAGAAGCATAAGGTTTCATTAAGTTCAATTGACTATGGAAGAATTAGAATTTTCAGAGAGGAGGAACTGACAAAACTGGATTTGTTACTTTGAGTTTTAATATATTTCTCATATGATCAACAGTTTAACATGTTTCAAGCTAACTTTTATTTTAAAAAGAACTTCAGTTTCTAACTTAACACATTTTAAACATTCAAATTATGTTTTGAACTAATACAAATGGGAAAAATAATGCACCTCTTTTCAGAGGAAGTATTTTTAATGTAAATCTTATGTTGAACAATTCCAAACATATTTCATGAAGGAGTTTAAGGCCATTATAATGGTAGAAGTAATTGAATTCGTTACTACAAAAATATAAAGAGCTGAGCTGTTGCACATTATTGGAGATATATACATTCATATATACATATATGTATGTATGTAACATATATATGTATATGTATATATATCACAGACAGAATGATTAATCATATATAACAAATGAATAATATTTATTATTAATGTAATATATTAATTTGTATATAAAATAATTAGGTGCAGCTTAGACACTAATGTACGTTACAACTGAAAACAGCATAATACCGTTTTTTGTCTTATAAGGGATAGGATAAACACATATTCAAATCTTAAGGCAAATTAAAGAGATAAGAAATAGAAACTGTCAGTAAATTTATGGTTGATTTTTAAAAATTATTTTAAATATTTTGCTTTCTAGCCATCTATAAATTTTTTTAGCTGTTTCTCTACTTCCTCCACAAATGCTGGGAAGTGTTGATCCAACAGGCACAAGTGAATAAAGCTGCTTAAATCTTCAGCACTCCATGTGGATTTTTGATATGCAAGAGGAAGTTGATTATCTGGTATCAGCACGCACTGCCAAAGAGAAAAAAGTAATCAATTTTCTTTTTAAATTCCTTTTTAAATTTAAAATAAAATATATTTTATTGATTTTTTTTTACTCAACATGGATTTGCTTTCTCTCTAGGAGATACAAATTATAGCTAAATTTACTTTGTTTTATTAGTAAGAATCTCCAATGTGTTTAATCCCAATAAGGTTTCTTTATCTTGATATTTAATTTATCATTCTGGAAAATATTCATCCAGTTTCTAACTGTAGAAAGTGTGTGTTGCTTCTTCAGAGGACCCTGGAAGAACCAGATTATCTGAACCCCTTTTAGTCAAGATTTGGGTCTCGGAACTGAGATGGCATCAATTGCACTCATAGCAGAAGCAGAATGGAGGTGGTTTCTCTATTCTTACTCGGTTCTTGACCTGTCAGTGGCTTTTGAAACCATTGATAACAGTATCTTTCTCAACTGGCTCTGGGAGTTGGGAGTGGGTAGCATGGAATTGAGCTGATTCTCCCTCCCTCCCTCCCTCCCTCCCTGGTAAGTTCCATTTAGTGTCGATGAAAGGAGAGATTCAGCCAGTGGTTTCTCCTTTCCGTGGTGCCTTAGTGCTCAGAATTCTTTTCCCTTCTATTTAACATCTACATAAAACCATTGAGTAAGGACATCCAAAGTTTTGGGGTGAGTATATTATGGGCAGATGATACGGAGCTTTGTATCTTCACCCCAGGCTGTCTGAGTGTTGCTGCAAGGATTCTATCTCAATATGTGAAGGCTATCAGGGGCTACATAAAATGAAGGGTAGATTTTTAGTTAAAATATCTCATTACCCGCAGTTTTATTAACCATTATTAAATGGCTGGAACAGAACTTCTATAAATAACAAGGATCATTTCTGTGTACATTGTCATTTATGAATTTTGGTTCCATCTTTAAATCTTTTCTGTTACAAATCTTAAATATCTTAAAAGTAAGAAAACTTTGGCTTCTGA